TCGTTGACACACACCCCTCCAACCCTAGGACGTGAACTGTAGATCCAAACGAGCCTGTAAATTCAGTTTAGCGTCAGCAACTATTTCGGCATCGAGTACAGCGGCCTGTTTTCGACGAACGCCATCAAAGACGAACACGACCACCACTCCGCCCAAACTGACCGAGATCACGCCTGAACTTGCAGCTAATCAACTCGTTGTCAAACATTTCAGGATCCGCTTTTACCTCCTTTCTTCTCAGAGAACAAAACGGCTGGTGCTCGAGTGGAAGCGAGAGAGAGCTCGAGTGTGTGATTGGGGTAAGTTTCGGTGATTTGTGGGATCAGATCTGCGAGGCAGAACGAGTTCTCGCATGATGTTCGAAGAAATTGTGACACACCGGGCGTAGACGGCGACAGATGAAGGCGAATGAGACGCTGCCTGAAACAAGAAACAATGATTAACCCGTGACAAGCATTTGAGTAGTCCAACATTCTATTCCTGCTTGGAGTCTTACAGCTAGGGACGTCGATACGGGTACTACCGCGGAATGTTCATCGATAGTTGCTTTTATGTTCACAGTACTATACTCACGAAACAAAGCCCTCCAGTTATGAAGCTATGACATAGTTGCAGATTTTACAAGAAGAATACCCATTTTCAGCTAACGGCCTTCTGTAGATGAGAATGAGGAACAAGGCCGCTGGAGATTAAGAACAATTACTGCTGATAGGAAATGCTGCTGTAGTGGCTTTTCTACCTTAAAGAAACCGACCTTGTATCGACCAGCGCTGACGTGAGCTGAAAAGACGATAACGTCTTTTTGAATTTAGGTTTTGTTCCACAGGGAACTGATGGTGAGCTGATGTATTTTATTGGAATCATACACTTTCCTTCCTCGACTTTCAAGGCGAAGTTACACTTTGCTAAATCCTGATTGGGCATTTTCACCATCAAATTCAGTAACGCGTTGCAGACGATTACGAAACTCCACCGCAGCCTTCTGGACGAACGCCATCGAGAGATTCTGCCACGCGACCGTGATTCGGTGCCTGAGTTCAGCGAGGTCGTTGATTTCTCCGCCACTGTAGACCACCCTGTTGAGCTCCGCTCGGACCCGGTAATCGAGGGGGTTTAGGTCAGGTGACACACTTGGATATTCCGCCCTTTCATTCCAAGTAGGTGAGAGTTTTTCCAAGCGCCCTTCGATTCCTGTGTGCTGGCATCCAATCCTGTAGCAGTTTCCAAGACGTACAGGCGACGACATGAAGGCAGTTTATTCTCCTAGCACTGTTCGGTGTAACCGTCAGCGTTTACTGTATGTCCGTGGTTCAGTCGTTTCACGAAGAAGATATCCGGTCTCTCATTCCGAGAGTCCGTCTATACCATCAACCACCACGCCGGCCCCTTGTCGACTGCGATTGACTGAGATATTATCTAAACCGTAAGCACGTTGTCGGAGCTGCTCGATTTTGGAGATCTCCCAGATCGAGAGTGCCGGTCTCCAGGTAGCTGTCCATGGGTGACTCGGTAAAAGAACTTTCGCAGCTGTTTGGAGGTGACGTGAATTTCATAGGCTTCTCCAGTCCGGCTGCGACTGGAGATGACTTCATATTTTGGTGTACATGAAGGTGATGGACGAGAGCCTGCTCCTGCTTATCGAGGAACATCTTGGGTATCTTCCGCCCTGGTACTCGTATCCACGTCTTCTATCTGGGCTGCGTAAACTTTACTGATATGTGACTCGTGACTGAAAGTGTCTTTTCCCCTCCCCCTGTATGTGTCCTACGATGGGATACCTCGACGAGAAATCCGAAAATGAAGACAAGCGCCGCGTGGTAATGTTGAGTTTGATACTCCAGTGATGTAATCATTATCACTGGAGCATCAAAGTTAGCAATTGTCTCAGAAATGCCTAAGAACCAATGGCATAACTTGCAAAATGGAATCTGGCCCATACTAATGGTGAGCGATTCTCTTATCGGTCTATTTGCTTCCCTACGCATGTCACTTTCTCGTGAACACTTCTCGTTTGCAGAGGCAGACGGTACCCTTTTTTGTTGGGTGTCACGATTTCCAAGCCTGCTTTGATTTGATCTGGAAATGGGAAAACTAGGATTCAAAAGT